AAACATAAAATTACATGTTACTTCGTGTGAAACATTGATTTGGTACATTAAAAAGTTAAATCAGTCTAACTCATTTCATTGTTAAACATAATAATAAATACTACTTACTAAAATTTAACAGAAAAATAAGTTTTAACTCTTTGTGCATCATTAACGTGTAACGTTCACTACTGGAAAATTGACCTATGGCTACGCATGGAAAACCGTTGCTACAGATAGGTAAACCGTTTCCATAGAGGTAATGCAACGGTTCAGCACCCGTTCCACAAGCTGGCGTGCCTATAGAGCTTATGGAACGGTTCAGATAACCGTTGCTATAGTAAGGTCTATTGCAACGATTTTCCCTCTTCCTGTTGGAACAATTATCCTTATCAACTGCAACGGTTAATGTCTTTTACCATAACGTTAAATGCAACTGTAAATAACCGTTACATATCTATTAAACCGTTACGACAATTGTAGAAATGGCAACGATTTCTTTATGATATTGCAACGGTTGAACTACCTATTGCAACGGTTTTTAGATTATTTTGGAATGGTTTGCAGGTCATATGGCAACGGTTCTGTTAGCTATTGTAACAGTTTAATTGAATTGAAAATATTGCCCCCTGTTGCAAATAAAGATTTACACATATATAAAATAAACTATAAAACACTAAAATTTATATAAATAACAAAAATAAAACTATTCATAATCCAAATCGTCCAACAAGCTAATTAATAATTCCATATATGAAGTGATGAAATGTTACCAAGTACATGCATTTGATATTTCAAGAGTTCAAAGTTTTCAAAAGTTTTGATAACAAACATTCCTAGAAACCACCACATGCATCTACAACAATCAACAATTCAAAATTCTCTTAAGTAAGGTTTAGATCTTCATCACTGGCTTCGTCTTCCATTTCTTCATCTACTCCACCTACAAAAGAGTATAAAGCAAGAATAACAATGACAACAAGGAGCAAATCAAGAAGTAAAACATGATCTGAAACCATCTGATCATGTTCCAATACTACTGAAACCATCTGATCATGTTCTCAAGGAGCTAATCTTCTGAAACCATTCCACTCCACCCAAATCATTCTAATACTACTTTGCTTATCCAATCAAACTAAAACATGATCCCCAGAAAGAAAAAAGAAACAAAATTCGTAGACGAAGCAGCGGTAGAAATGCAATGGACTCAGCTTCATAGAAATAAAATTCAAACCAAAAGAGTTATGGGATTTAGCTGGATTCGGTAAACTCATAATACTCAACTTCCAGTTAGTCGAAAACGAAAAGCAGTTACTGGACATAAATCAAATTGAGTATCAAGCGACACAAAAGATCACTAGTCTAGTCATAAAATTCAAAGTACTGTACACTCTCCGAGGCATCCAAAAACAAGATTAGTGCAACAGTAGAAAGCTTCAATCAACTACGCCCCAATTACAACAATTATTATAAAGAGTTCAAATAAAATGAAGATACAACATACTCTTTTCTCCAGAAGACTTGTAACATTTGGTACGGACTAACCTTGATTGTTACTGCCAGCGGATGGACGATTGATTGGCTGAATAGCAGCTTGTTGTGCAGAAGAAGCTTCTCCAGGTGCACGAGCACTGAATATAAGCATGTCAAGATCAAGTCTCAAATCGGGGTTGAGACGTTGAAGTCGTGTAACGACGTTCATCATAATATCTTGTTCTATAGCTTCCTTTTGTGCATTCAACTTTTCCAGCATTCTTTGTTGCATCCTCTCTTCCATTTCCTCCATTTTTTGTTGCATTCTCTCATCAGTAGCATTTACAGAGGATCCAAAATCTCTTTTTTTTCTTTTTTAAGACAGTCTTGTTAACTCCTTGTCCATACAATCTTACCCGACTTGGGTTCTCAAGTCCCATGACTGATGCAAACGCGTCAACTGAATCACAGCCATCTCCACTTTCTTGAGTTGATTGTATTCTCTCCATTTCAGCCTACAAACCAAATGCAAGAGAAAAGATTTTAAGTGAATAAAACTAAGTCAATAATTAAGAACAAATAAATAATCACGACAAACTTAAAATTATAAATTTCTTACAATTTTACTAACTGTATTCTCATAAGAGCCTTTGTATACTCGATCAGGTTTTCTTTTTCTTGTAGCCCCAAAGATGTCCTTACTTGATTGAGTATTTGAAGTATCAGCCATTTCCTTCTTTTTTTCCTAGTCACATGCAAACTGGTATAAGAATCTTTTCATGCAAAGTTAGCAAGTTCATACTTTAAGAAAAATAAGAGAAAAAAATCAAACCTCGATGATTAGAGCAAAACTTGTTTTGCCAGCAGTATGTCACGATCCGGATTTTCCACCGTTGGGACCATGATGGCGCCTAACTTTTCATATGCTAGGCAAGCCAACAGTTAAAGATTTAATACGCTAACCCTTAACCAATTCAGTAAATAACAGCAATTAAACCAAAACGAATTAAAGTAGTGCAGAATTTCATAATAACCCAAGTACTTATACACAACCACCCAGAATCTGGTGTCACAATTCACGAACTTCTAAGAGTCACTACAAATACTGCCTGAAAGAAAGTACAACTGTTTTCGAATTAAAAGAAACAGAAAACTGGAATAACTGGAAGGGGACTCCAGGGTCAGCGAACACCGACAGATCTACCTTGGCTCTCCTGTAGGATTGAAGGTAGTAGCTCAACTCGGGTCAACACGGTCCAGTACCAAAATCTGCACAGAAAGTGCAGAGTGCAGTATAAGTACAACCGACCTCATGTACTGGTAAGTGCCGAGCCTAACCCCGGCGAAGTAGTGACGAGGCTAGGAAGACACACACATAAACTTGTGCAGTTAAACAATATACTAGCATAATAACAACTAATAGAAGCTAAGCAGAAATTAACAGGAGGGGAAGCATGCTAAGGGGGTTGCGAGATAAAGAATCACAGCAGTGCAGGAATTTAAACGGCTAGTACACCTTGAACCGGTAATAACACATAAACACAACAAACGAAAAATGCACGGCATCACCCTTCGTGCTTTATCACTCAACCTCACCATGTAAATAATAGAAACGTGCATGGCATCACCCTTCGTGCTTTATCACTCTACCTCACCAAAACAAGAGACAACAAAAATAGGGAGATAGAAATGACAACAACAAGTTTTACTCCAACATTTAGTTCCACAATACCAATCTCAACTTTGAGTAAATGCTCAATCAATACCAAATTCAATAAAACATGATAAGAAATTGCTTAACACATCGATAGCTAGTCTAAACATGAACAATATGATCAAAGATACAACATTACAAGAATAAGACTCACTCACATGCTATGACTCGATAACAACGTATAGATACTCCTTACCTCACCTATACGTTGTACTCAACAGCCACACACGTAACAAGTAAGCAAATAACACTTAATCCCTCAAGCTAAGGTTTGCCACGACACTTACCTCGCTCCCACGGCCAAACTCAAAGCTCAATCACCGGTTTTCCTTTCACACAAGCCTCCGGACCAATAGAATCTAGCAAATTACCAACCAAACAATTCAATTAAGCCTTAGGAACTACCCACGATTGCAAGAAAGTTCAATTTAGACAATTTTTGAAAAAGTCAACACCCGTGCGCGCTTGGTCCAAACCCGAAATTCGGACCAAAACTCGATTACCCATTCACCCCCGAGCCTGGATATACAATTGATTTTGGAATCGACCTCAATTTAAGGTCTAAATCCCCAAATTTTGAAATCCCTAGTTTCTACCCAAAAATCCCAATTCTACCATGAAAATCTTAGATTCTAGGTTGAAATCTTGTAAAATAAAGTGAAAGATTGAAAGAAACCAGTTAAGAATCACTTACCTATGATTTGGGGAAGAAATGGTCTTTGAAAATTGCCTAGAGGGTTTCTTGTTTTGAAAATTTGAGGAATGGTCGAAAATCCCGTCTAAGTCCCTTTTACACAGCTGCAGATGTCGCATGTGCGACCTGAGCTTCGCAATTGCGAAGCTCGCAAATGCGAGAATGGCATCGCAAATGCGAACCTGTCACATTTCTGCTTCTATCGCAAATGCGAACATATTGTTCGCAAATGCGGAGCTGGGATCGCAATTGCGACCACCTTCTTCGCAAATGCGAAGAACCCCTTCCCCAGACCAACTTCGCAAATGCGAAGGATTGTTCGCATTTGCGAACATAGGCTGGCCCAGCTTCTCTTCGCATTTGCGGTGAGAAGCTCGCCAATGCGACCTCAACAGTAGTCGCAAATGCGAAGCTTGACCTCGCATTTGCGAGGTCTGAGGCCTGCAACATAGTAGAGAACACCAGCAATTTTTTTAAGTGTCAGATCACTAAGTTAACCTTTAAAGGCAAAAATTATTATTTTTATCAATTTTTCACATAAAAGCTTTCGAAAAATGCTTCCGGACTATGCACGCAAATCGAGGAGGAATAAAATGAGGTTTTGAAGGCCTCGAAATACGGAATCGAGTTCTAAAGCCTAAGATGTTCTTTTGGTTCATCACACAGTGTGTGGATACTTCAACTTGTTTCGATTCTCGATATTGATTTCGGACGTTTTCTGCAAATAAACAAGCAATTAGTGTGAGCTATTGTTTCGATTCTCTATATTGGTTAAAGGCTTAGTGTATGGACACCAAGGGTGACAGACCAACGTTGGTCTTAGTCTCTTATGTATTCAGGGCGTATGTACCTTGTTGCGTGCGGTATCACGGGACATTGCTTCGTCGAATTTTTTATTAAATATATATATATATTTAAAAAAATATTAAGGATAAATATAAAAAATGACTGCTTATTATTGTAGTGATTTGTTCATTAGTCTACTTCTTCAAATTGTGATACTACTTACAAAATATTTTGTGTACGCTACTGCCCGTATTCCCCGTCAAATTATTCCCTGGATTACCCCGGCCCACCCTCATTCTATAAAATGAAATTAAAAGAAAAAAACACGTTAAAGGACAAATAAAACATATCTCATCAAACTCAACGTTATTTCCCTCCCATTTAATTTTGAGAATATGTCCAAAGAAACAGTTTTAATTAACATTCTGTTACAACACCTTTCGATTTCACTCTCTATCTATCTCACAGATAAAAAATAAAAAAAGCTCCCGGAATAATTCAAAAAAAAAAATCACAAAACTAAGGGGTGACAATATTCACTTTCATGAAGTTGCAAATCATAGAGAAGGGAAAGAAGATAAAATCTCTCCCAAATTGTTTGATGTGTTTGGGTCTATGATTCCATCCCCACCTAGTGATCTTATTTCTTGATCCCAAAATAGAAAACTTGGACAACATTGTTGTGTATCTATTTGACTCCATTCTTCATTCGACTGGACCGTTTCTCGATTTTTACGTGTTATCCTTTGACAACTGGACCATTCTTCATTAAGCTGATTATTATCTTGACCTTCCACCATCATATTATTGTTATATTTACTACTAGGTATTTCCATGGGTGATACCATGGTCTCTATCAATGGTGGCAAGTAATTAGAATCCATTCCCGTTGTGTACGATGATTGTAGTTGATGTTGATGTTGTTGTTGATCTACTTGCCAGAATTCTGAGTTCAACATCGATATTTCTTGAAATAACGAGGCGTTATTAGTACCTCGATTTGTAGCATCATTGACATTTGTCATAGTGTCTAGTGATCCATTGTCGAAAAAGAACAATTGGTTTGGAGAATTGACCAATAGGGCAGAATCTTGGAGGACTTGAGATTTTGTTATTCCAACATCTTGAGTTAAGAATATTTCTGGTTGGCTTGTTGTAATTGTGTTATAAGCCAATTGAGATCGTTGTTGTTGTTGTTGTTGTTGATGACGATGATGATCAGTAATAGAAGTGATGTTATTTGTTGATGGCTTTGAAGACTTTTTTAACTTTTTTTTTATCCAAGAATTCCAGTAATTCTTTATCTCATTATCTGTTCTTCCAGGTAAATGACTTGCTATATGTGCCCACCTGCAATTTTTGCATAATTAGAAATTAAATATGTGAAAGGATGAAATCGTTATTTTTCTATACCAAAAAAGTTTACTCATGTTGTTTCTTATGACACATTATCGGCTGAACTTGAAGTTTAAGAAAAAAAAGACTTTATAATATATCATAAGTACCCTTAAAACTTGTACTTTGAACATGTCATGATATTTCTGTGACTACATGGGCGTGTGTTATTAGGGGTATAATCGAGTTTTTAAATGTAGAAAAGTATTAGTGCGATATAAGATAGCGCAGTCCACTATGTCTTTTATGGCAAATGGCAAGTGACATGCAGTGAACTCTAGTACTCCCTCCGGTCCACAATAAAGTGAGCATTTTATATTTGGCATACCCATTAAGGAAATATGAACTCCTAGAGAAAAAAATATGTATTCACTAAATTAACCTTAATTAATTGTTACCTTGACACGTTGGAAGATGTAAATAAGGGTAAATTTTAGAAAAATAATAAATTTTTCTAATAATTCCTTCTTGATTACGTAAATGGACACTTATTTTGGACCAAAATAAAAAGGTAAAATAATCACTTATTGTGGACCGGAGGGAGTATATTATAAATCAAACTGAGAATAAAATACAGTAAAAAAGCAAGATTATTAACTGTTTCACTGATTTGATTATTATCAAATGAAAACATCTGATGTTGCCTCCTTAACGTCCTCCATAATTATATATTAAAGAAATAATGTAGTTGAGCATGCCTTTTTAAAAACTGTTTAGATAATGGTTTTCTGAGTGCGTGCTTTGTGTGTGTCATATGCACATAATAAGTATAAACAATATCTAATCAGAAACTTGCTTTCAAAGTGAAACATAATATAGAAGTAGAAAGGAGTATTTCTTCAAGTTGCTTTAAATTAAGTGAATACTTAAGCTTCACTACATACACCAAGAGTTATTTCAATATACGGAAAACTTATTTTTGAACTGTGCAAGTTGTTGTTCAGCAATGTGCGTGAAACTGCTAGAATATATACTAAACTAAAGTGGAAAAAAAGCTATCCACCGCACAAAGTATTCTGCGTTTACGCAAGATCCGAGGAAAGACTGCACTCCAAAGAAGTATAATATAGACAGCCTATTGTGATGCAAGCATAAGTGTCTAATTTTACGGTTCAAACATGTGACGTATAGGTTATACGGAAATAATTTACCGTTTGACGCAAGATAATTGAAGTGGAAAAAGGTTTAAAATGCAAGAGTAGGGCATTTTTAGTACTAAGAAAATTAACGTAACCTGTTGCCTACAGCTCCGTGGAGACTAATAATCAATTTCTCCTCTTCTGGGGTAAATCTTCCTCTTCTAATGTCAGGCCTCAAATAATTGATCCATCTCAATCGACAACTCTTTCCACATCTTTGAAGCCCTGCACCCAAAAAAACCACCAGTCAAATTTTACATCTCAATGTGGTTTTTGGCAAATGGAAATGAATATCATTAATACAAGTTTAGATTATGTTTAGTGAATATTGTATAGTATACTCCTTCAGCTCCATTTTATGTGGCGCGTACGACCCGTCAAACTGCTTAACAACGTAAATTCGAACATAAAATCTTTAAGTTCAGACGGTTAAAAAAAGTATTAGAAAAAGTATGGTCAAAGAAGTATCTCTTTGACTCTCAGAATAGTAATAGTGCCACATGAAGCGAAACGGATGAAGTATTGTATATAACGATACAGTAGAATGTAAGATGAAAAAGGCAGCCCGGTGCACTAAGCTTTCGCTATGCGCGGGGTCCAGGGAAGGATCGGACCATAAGGGTCTATTGCTCGCAGCCTTACCCTGCACTTCTGCAAGAGGCTGTTTCAACGGCTCGAACCCGTGACCTCATAGTCACATGGCAATAACTTTACCAGTTACGCCAAGGCTCCTCCTAAAATGTAAGAAGAAAGAGTTAAAGAAAAGACCAGCTTTGTCAGGGACTTCACTCCAGCAGCCATAGCCATGAGTTGTAATATATCTGATGAGCTTTTCATCTTCTTCAGGGGACCAAAGCCCTCTCTTTACCTTTTGTTGATTACAACATGAATGGTGCCCCATATTTTCACTTCTCTTTGTTTTAGTTTCTATATATCTCTCCTTTATATATGATTAGTAAAAAGTAAAGTGATTAGTGAGTTTTCTGATGATCTCCATTGCTATAAATACTCCCATAAAATTAAAGGATTCTTTCAAAGAGTGCCGACATGAGAACTGTTTAAAGGACCCTCAAGTTTGGCCCCATGTAATTTCCATCTAACCCTAAAATGACGTTCCATCAACTTTCTGTGTGTGTGTGTGTATCAAAAAGTCTTAGTTTTCAAACTTTCAATTCCATATTATGTCTTCCTCTACGTAGACATGCGTATTCTGTAACCAACTTAATCCAATATATTTCACGTACCTCGGCCATGCCGCCTTGTTCGGTTGCTATCTTTTTCTTGTTCTTTTTTCTGGCGTAAGTTACGTACGTAAGTTTTGATATCACAGTGGAAAACGTTACTTATTATATTCAACTTACTTATATTAGTGTAGTTTGAAAATTCTATACAGTGCAATTTTGTCTACTATAGAGAACTATAGAAGATTATCATGTCTTACTTTTAAGTTACTAATTCTACTTTCTATATTTTGATAACCAAGAATTTCTGAATATCAGAAGTGTAATATATATACGAATTGAATCTCGCTGGATAACGGGCGGTCAACCTCTATCTTTCTCCACTTAAATTTTAGACTTTTGTTTGTGGTAATTTGAACGTATGGCCTAGCGTGCGTGATGGTAGGTTAGGAACTCACGCTTTTTACTATATATATAACACTCTAATTGCTGCACTTTGGTTGTATTTGAGTGTAGTTGCTAGTACTTTGTACTTAACGTGTGTTACGCTGTGTTGGATGTGATTTTGAGTTGAGGAGCACGTTCAGAACTAAAATGGATGAATTGGAGCTTTGAAGTTTGAGTAGAAGCCCAATTAGAAATTAAATCGGGATCATGTCCGCGGTAGGAGGACCAAGTCCGGATGTTAAAAATTGAGAAAAATTCCTTCTTTGGAAAAAATGCACTACCGCGCCGTGCGCCGCGGGGCACTAGTGCAATTTTTCTGCAGAGTGAAAAAAATCAACTCTCTGAAGATCCTCACTAATGCGGTGCATGGGCCGACGCACGGCGCGCCGTGCTTGTGTATTTTCATTGTCCAACTTTCCCACTTCGGCTTTGAAATGGTAGTTCCGATCCGTTCGGACCCGTTCCTACATGGTATAATTTCACCAAAAAATACGATTTTGAGAGGACTTTTGACCTACGAAAGATTTGAGGAGCAACTAAGGTATGACGACACAAGAGTTTATCAAGATTTCAACCAATAATCGGGACAAAAATACGGGAGAACGTATCGAATTAGATAGCTTTTTCTATTGTTATGGAGTAGTTTTTCCTTAGGGAGTTGACAGACATGGTGTATTGATACTTTAACTAGGGATTCGATTCTTGACAATTGATTGACCTAATTGATGGAGTTTTGAATTGTATTGTGAAGTTATTCATTATTTTACCTAATCGAAGGAGGAGTTTAATTTCTTTACATCTTATGCTCTAGTTTAATTTAGCGATCCATCTAGGTAATTGAAAGTGTCTCTTGAATATAATTATTAATCAAACTGGAAAATAAGAAAATAGTCGTGAGTAGTTACCCTTTAGACTAAAACCATCATTTATTCATAGCAAGTGTTCACAGTGCTTCAATTGGATTATTTATGGGAATTAAAGTTTAATCGAAAGAGGAACCTTAACTTCAAGTGTAATCTAATTATATGGTGAATTCGTGAGAATCGACAATATTATAGAGTGAACTAATCTAAGAATTGGATCCCGAGTCAATTATCTTGTACCTGTCTAGTCTATTACCCTTATTTCTCTTACAGATATTTCTGTGTTGCTCAACACTTGTCTTCCTTGATCAATTAATAATTGCTTTAATTTTAGTAGTTAATCGTTCCAATCAATTAAGTGTTAATTTTCCTCGATAGCGATTAATTAAAGATTATTCGAACACTTTTTAAATTCAATCCCTGTGAAGACCATAATTAAGTTATACTATCATTGACTAGCAAACATTAATTTCTTGTTGTATTTTGCGCTCGTCAATGCGCCTAGCGCACATAGAATTCGTTGCGCTTTTACCGTTAGACAAAGGGCTTGGAGATACTAATTCTACTTATGACATTAGTTCTCGAACACTGACGAACAATTAATTGCATTTGTGAGTATCTTATAAAACAACTCGTTCTCTTATGAAATCTTATAACGTTAATAGAAGAATTTCCTACATCTTGCAATAACCAAAATCTTGCATGTTTTTTCGTTTTATATAAATTAAATTATCGCCAATGGATTAATCATCTTTTACTAATACTAATAAGTATATGAACAAGTTAAAGCTGTACAATTTATAACGATACATTCTTGTTGTCAATATAGGAGTAGGGGGTTGCTTAATCTCCCCTTCTGATCAAGGTGGTTTATTTTTCTATTTCTATAAAATAATAAAGACATCAATGAGAGGAATACCTTTTTATAATTAATTGCTCTTATTTTTATTTCTTTTTCGAGTTTAGCTTCTGTGCGCACTATCCGTACACTTTTTTGTATAACATCAAGTTAAAACCTACAACAATAAAAATAATTATTCTTTTTTGGTATCCCAACATGTAATATAAACTTGTTATAACATATCAAAATATACCTGATTGTATAAATAAAAAATTTAGCACACTTAATATATAGATAAGTTAAATCCTTCTCTTTCTTTAATTTTTTTTTAAGGAACTATAAGGAATGAATTGTCAATATTGTAGAAATATTGTCAATTCTAGTTTTAAGTATTCCCGAGGACGCAAGTTTAATTCAAACGTGATATAAAATCTTGTAATTTTGTAAAGCAAAAGCACCATTAAATCATCACTTTACTTGCTTCACAAGATATATTACTGCTGGGATATGGAAAAAAAAATGTCAATTTAGGATCGACGTCATTGGATTTCATTTTTTTAGAATTTATAACGTTTCTTGATTAGACTCGTACACTATATCCCCCTTTTTTGTTATAGATTCATTTTCTGCAAATTATGTCAAACTATTGCTTCCTTTAAAAGGATATCTCAAATACTAATTATATGCTTTAGCCATCACACATGTTTAAATACGATAATAGTTTAGCAATAATTCTTCTTATTTTCTAAGTACTAGTATTAGTACCCGCGCGATGCGCGGACATAAGTCATGTTAAATTGTGATGTAGGTTGTTTGAATCATGTGCAAATAACCTTAAAATATAAACATCTCATATAAAAATTATATAACATTAGATATTAATTATGAAGTAGGATATGAAATTATTGTTCAAATCTCGTAGTGCATAACCTTTTCTTTTTTTTATATTTGTAGCAATCTAACCCCTTGATTTCAGTCTTGCATTTCGTTTCGCTATCAATATTAAAGAATACTAAACATATCATGTTGTGATCTGTCTTGGTTGAGCACAATAGATCATATTATTTTGACAAACTTCTTACTATCCCTTTGTTTTTATCTAAAAGTTAAATATGTCTTATTCATCACATTATTTGTATGCAAATTCCTTTTTCTTTGTTTTTTTCTTATAGTTATTGCATTATTTATTTTAATATTATTGTACTATCATATAATATTTTATTAGCTTAATTAAATTAATGTCTTGCTTATTATTCTTTTAGTAGTCTTTAATAAATAGAAATGTTTTATTCTTGATATTTGGTATATTTTATGCTTGTATCCTCTCATTCGGAATTCTTTAATCAATTAAATTTATTATAATATTATTAATTATAATTTAATTTTTTAATTTATTTATTTTTAAATTAATTTAATCAATAAGTATCCTCACACTATCTCTATTTTTATACATTCTCTTCCCTACTATACCAAAGTAATATTATATTTTATTTTAAATTATAAAATTAATGCAGGCTAAAATATTAAAACATAAGTTATTTGATGATTTTGTTCCAAATGTATTGAGTTCTGTTATAATTATTTTTGATTTAGATGTAGTTAAATTTTTTTTTAGCTTTAAGATATAAATTTAATTTTAAATTTTCATTAATAAAATTATCTATATTAGAAAGTTATTTTATATTCTTAAAATTTTATTTTAATATTAGAAAAATAATTTCTTAATTGTTTGAACATATTATATGTATGTAGTAATATGTTTACTGTCTTTCCGTAATAATTTTCAAAAAACAATTATGAAATAAAAAAAATCTCATCTCAAATTCAAATAATTCTTATCATTTTATTTTGTAAATTGGAACGCAATTTCAAAAAATTACCCTATGCTTTCAAACGTATACTAACTGCACTCAATTCAGATATTAATCATAGAAAAATATTTTCTTAGTTGTTTGAATACATTATATCTAAATGTCGTAGTAATATTTTCACTGTCAGCTTATTTCTTATGTAAATTTTCTTTCTTTTTAGCTTTAATACAAATTTAATTTTTAATTTTCATTACTATAATTACGTATATTAGAAATTTATTTTGTATTTTAGTTATTTTTCCATAAATAAGACTTCAATTTCGTGATAGTGTCCATAGTTTGAGCATTCTAATCATAGTTTTAACAACTTTTTAATTTCAAATTCAATTATTTCTAATAGTAAAATTTTAATAATTTAACATAATTTTGCTAATTGTTTAAGTATTGTATATTTTATTTTAACAACTTTCTAATTTCAAATTTAATTAGCCTTTCCCTTTCTAATTTTAACTTTGTATATTTAATTTTTTTTCTAAACTTATGATTTATAAATATCCTCACATTATCTCTAATTTATTTCTATTACTCAATATTTTTAGTTTTTAGTTTTTGATTTTATCTATTAGACTTGAGTTACGTGGACCTATTCATATTATGACTTTTCTTATCATATATATAAAAAACTTTCTCATCTCAAATTTAAATAAGTTTTACAGTTTTTTTCTATGATAAAAAATCTAAAAAAAAATTCTCTATTTATTTTTTTATTTTTGATTATATTATTCAATACTTAATATTGTTACATTGTCACATGGCTTTTTATTAGCTTGTTTGAATTTAATATCTATTTATACCACACTCATTCTAATATTATATAGATAAAAATTCAAAAAAAATCTCAAATTCAAATAAGTTTTATTATTCTATTTTCTAAATTTGACTGCATTTTCAAAAAAATTATGTTATACTTTCAAACTTAAACTAACTACACTCAATTCAAATACTAATCACAAAAAAATATTTTCTTAATTGTTTGAACCCATTATATCTGAATGTTGTACTAATATTTACGTATAAAATATTTATTTTCCTGATTTACCAATATTAATATGACATTATTATTCTTGTTATTAAAATATTTTTTTACGAATTATTTATGCTTTTTCTTACCTTATAAATAATTTATATACTTTATGT